AAAAAAAAAAAAAAAAAGAAAAAAAAGGAAAAGAAAAAAAACTTCTTTTGCAGGTATAAAACTGAAAGTGTGCTTTTTATATTTATGCCCATGTTGCAGGTTTTTTGTGTACTTGGGGAGCAAATAAGCTCAAGCATGGACTACTGACATTTGGGGCTGCTGACTGTACTACACACACATGCCATTTGAACACTGATACAGAGAGATAATGGGGTGTTTTGAGTTTTAATGTTGTGTAAATATGTTGAAAGAACTTCAATTTGTGGAATGAAAAAGCTTTGAACATGTTAAATTTTATCAAATTGTTTGAGCTTTGTTCCTGTTTTGGCTCGACTAAAATTCATTTGAACTCGACCAAGATGGCGAAATAAATTAGAACAAATATAGTTATTTATATTAAAAACCTCAAAAGAAAGAAAAGATATTTAGACATTATTTGTCGTTGTCATATTTCTTTCTTTCTTTCTTTCTTTCTTTCTTTCTNATATATATACATACATATATATAATACTCTATAGTATGACTAATTGACTATACAATTTTATTAAGAATAATATGATTAATGTACCTATCGAATAAATGAAAATTATAGGGCTACTTACTTTCAAAATGAAATATCATATAAAAGCAACAAAAGTTAAATATAATATTCCACAACATATATATAATTTTGTTAAAAATATTATAACCATCGATCCACCTAATGAATAGTCGACTCATACATGAATTTTTGTGAAATAAATTAATTTTCACTCGTCCCTTTCGGAAGAAGTCGATTAAAAAGTGTCTTCTTTCAAGTTATGTAAACTGTCTAAAAAACAGATAGGGGGTTTCATTTATTCGAAAGACTGTACAATAATAGGCCCAACAACCGAAACAACTGGCCCAGAAACAGAAAATAAAACGTCTAAAAAGAGAGAAAAACTAACGAAAGCGTGAAAAAAGGGGAATTAGGGTTTTGAGGAGGAAAACAAAATGCCGAAGAACAAAGGAAAGGGAGGGAAGAACAGGAAGAGGGGTAAGAACGAAGCAGATGACGAGAAGCGTGAGCTCGTCTTCAAGGAGGATGGACAGGAGTACGCGCAGGTGCTCCGCATGCTCGGCAATGGCAGGTGCGAAGCCATGTGCATCGACGGCGTCAAGCGCTTGTGCCATATTCGCGGGAAGATGCACAAGAAGGTGTGGATCGCCGCCGGTGATATTATCCTCGTCGGCCTCCGTGACTATCAGGCAATAATTTTTCTCTTTTTTGTTTTGCTCGAAAGATTGTATTTTTGCTTTATTTATCTGGAATTTGTGGTGGATTACTTCGATTATGTTGTTATTTTTCTTTATTACATAATTTTGTTTGTTTAGTTGATTTGTGTAAATGTGTAGCTTTGGGTGTATTCTTCTCTCTCACCTTCATCAGCTCTTTTAATTGATTTGGATATGATTTAGTGTTTCTGTCCTTGTGCTGTTGTGCCCTTTTCCATTGTGTTTTTGAGTTGTTAATTGTGTTCTGAAGTGATTTTGGGAGGTCGTAATGAATGCTGCGAATTTGATTAGTTAGGAAGAAGGTTTCATGTGATATTCTTATCGGTCGTTATGCAGTTCAGCCCATCACACCTTCTTAACTAAAATGAGTACTTATGCTATGAAATGTCAGTTTTGAAAGTACGTTCATGTGTTGAAAAAGTACTCCCTAACCGATGTAACTGTTGTATTGGTTCATGTAGATGTAGGAGGAATCTGGGAGCCCGCCTAATTTTCCTTTTTTTTTTTGGTTAATCTTTTGTGAATAGAGAAGGTTTTCTATGATTGATTATTGATACGAAAACAAGTTTGCAACATAACATGCACAATGGATGTTTATTTTTCGAATGCAACGTTGAGATTCAGACTTGTGCTTTCATAGTAACTGTCCTGAAGTTTTGAATAGAGTCATCACAAAACATCACATTTGCGACACTTTCTGAACAAGAGTTATCACAAAACATCAGCTTTGTCATCCTAATGGTTAAGATTTTTTTTGTGAAGAATACATACAACTAAACACATCAATTGAAGTGAGTATATCTTCTTCGTAAGGTGTTACGAAGGTGACTTGGGCTTATTACAGTTATATGTTCTTTCTTGTCTTGCATACAGGATGACAAAGCTGATGTAATCTTGAAGTACATGCCCGATGAAGCTAGGCTGTTGAAAGCATATGGCGAACTTCCAGAGACCACTAGGCTTAATGAAATTACCGGGCTTGACGAAGAGGATGATGGTCCTGGTGATGATTATATCGAGTTTGAGGACGAGGATATTGACAAACTCTAGAGAGCTTTGTGTAAGAATTCCAACTTGTCTTGAGGGTCCTGCTCGCTTGTTCCTTTAAATTGACAAAGTACAGATTTTTATCTTTCGTTTGCGTTTTGAGTGATGAGTTCAAGTTTTGTGGGATGTTATTTCATGATTATTTGCATGGTTGCAATAATAATATGTGTGTTACACTGTTTTGCTCTTGTTCATGAAGCAAGGTTGTGGCGATCCTGGTAAAGGGGCAAGAAACATGGTTATGATAATATAGAACTTCACAAATAGCATAAAGATCGATATATATTTTTTTTTCTTTTTCGTGTTCGTTCTTGTCCTGGCTGTCCAAGTGAACAATCCAAGTTTTTTTCTGTTACATTTTATAATGCGGAAGAAAAGAATTGTGGTGGGATATTTGTTGCCCACGATATCTGATTAATAGCAACTAAGGAAAGCTACAACCATATTATCAAAAAAACCCCTTAATCTATCAACATTACCCATCAAAACCAGGCTCCCCAACATCGATAAACAACACGCTACAAGCCTACAACTGGCCAAATATGCGAATCAAGTAAGAAAAAAAACACTATATTCTAGATAGTTATATATTACTTTGGTACAAAGAAAGGAGATCGAAGCCTAAAACCTCTAGATAGTAATATTCTGTGGATGAGCGACGCCAAAGACGTCGTGCTTTAACCACGTCTTGACTTCTAGTGGTTGATCAAGTAGTCTCTGGCAGGCTGGCAGTCATTAGGACATGAATGAGATAAGATCGGCAAACAATCCGCAACAAAATTTGCTTCACGATAACAGTGCACAATATATTTTATATTCAATTGCCAAAAATATAATGAAATTAATTATATATTGTTACATAAATAATCGAAACAATTTTTATCAGATGTTGAAAACTACACTTCTATTTTGGTTTTATAGTGTATTTTTTCTATGATGTGCTACTTTTTAATTTTAAAGGGTGATATTAGTTTTTCTAAATAATTGTTTCAAGCCATGAAATTTAATTTGTTAAGAGTAAAAAGTTTTTAAAAATGTCATGCTATTTAATTTATTATTGATTATTTTCTTAGAATGGTTTCTTCTTTGTAAATAAATTAAGTGGGTGAAGATTTGGAAAGTATTTTAGAAACATTTTTATCAGTGTCAGATTGAATTGAATTACACACATGTTTATCGCATACAGTGACTACCTGTTCCTAGTTTCAACCTTATTTAACAATGCCACTCAAATTAAATTCTCAGATTTAATTTCAATTTTATTTAACAAATATATGCAATAAAAATTAAATTTTCAGATTTAATATCGTTAAATTAGGAGGAGCATGAACGATTATGAATGTCAAGCAATTATGAGCACCATAAAAAAATATACTGTAATTAGGGCCAACACAAAAATGGAATGCGACTCACTTCTTATCCACGATCGTGAAGTATTACTTTTAATATTGTTTTTACTCTATATAGTAGTAATGGTGATTCTTCAATTTCAATTTATTTTTATTGTATATAGTAGTAAATTGGTGATTGGTAAGTATATTCAATAAAATTATATTTGACTTTATTTTTAGTATTTGGGTATTCACAAACACATATATAGAGAGAAATGGGAAAAAAAGATAGTTAGAAAATAAGAATAAATCTATACCATTAGATTTATATCTATCATGTCATGTCAATGGAGTCAAATGTTAATAATGACAGTCAAACATGTGTACCAATATTGTAAATTAGTGTACAAATTTAGATCAAATATATACATTTGATTATTAAGTAAGGGTAAAATGAACATTACACAAATTATAACTCATTCAGTGGGTCCCACCCTAACCTATTCTATCTCACACACACACAAACACACACTCATAACTCACACACACCATGACACACACAAACACACACACACACACACGCACAGTTGAAGTGTCGGTCAGCCACGAGCCACTGCCTGTACCACCGACGCAGTCACCTCACTCGCACCATCAGTCATGCCCCAAACCTACCATCAGCCAGCCACCAACCTCGCCGTCAACCGGCCACCAACCTCGTTGTCAACCAGTCATAAAACCTGCAACCACTCCATCCTCCGCAATGTCTCAGTTGTCCGCCACGTCTCTATTATAATGAGAGTATATATGATAACGAGTCCGCTAAACTGTTTTAGAACACATAAATTCTGTATTATTAGACTGTGTTGTAGCACTAGATATGGCCAAAACCCGGGCTGGGTCATGGCCCGGCCCGCCAGGCCTCCGTGTTGGGTTTCATGGACCCTGAACCGGCACGGTCCTATGCTCGTGCCGGGCCCGGCATGACTCGATTAACCGGGCCGGGCCGGGTCGTCATTTTTTAAAGGAAAAAAACATAAAATAATATAAAAAAATAAAAAAATAAAAAATAGAGGGTCATTAACCCGGCCCCGGCCCGGCAAGAGCTGAAATGATCTTCTTCCCACTCTTTGGTTGAAAACGACATCTCAACAAGGACTGATCATGAAATAATGACCCTAAAACGGCCAGTCGAAAATCCGGTCCGGGCTCGGACTCGTGGTCAACGGATTTGATCGGGCCGGGTCAGGGTCGGGCGGCCCGTGGCCATGTCCAAGATAAGTAAGTGGTCAACGGATTTGATCGGGCCGGGTCGGGCGGCCCGTGGCCATGTCCAAGATAAGTAATTTTGCGGAAACACAAACAAAGAGGTAAAAACTTTTCGGGAGCGTCCCACGGATTTATATGGCAAATATTTAAAGTATATTTTTAATTAATTGTGGAGTTTATATGTGCAGATTTGATTCAGGTCCTTCATGAAATAATTTCCATATGTTGCTCAATATACCAAATAAGAGCACATTTAATACCCCAACATAATACCATAAGTTGAATAATTTATTTCCAAATTTAGTAATTAGGATTTTTTTGCCAATTACTATTTAAAAAATAATCAAACTTTTTTTATATATATATAAATATAAATTATTATTATTATGTGCTCAGCCAGATAACTGCAAATAACTAATAGATTATTAACAAAGTGAGATTACATAAACATAAACAATATCAACTCTAGCCCGTTCTTCACAGATTACCAAAACATGCATCTTTTCTTTTCAGAACTTATACAAATAAGAATCGTGACTGCAAGAGGATTTTTCGAGCAACATTCGACTTTACATACACCTTTATTATTCGGGCCCGAAAATATTCTTTTTTAACGCATCAATGTCCGTCGCCAGTTCTTTTCTGCTCGACTGCAAGAACATAATAACACTCATCAAGTGGTTTAGCAAACACTTAAAATTCAGAACAAAAATTGGTTTAACGTATTTCAGCTGAAAAAAAGTAGCTTTTCTTGCTTTTGAATGCTGATTTGTGTTTTTTTACCTTCATAACTTATTCACCAATCTTTATTAACCCTGAGAAAGGTTCAAATTCACATCTGGTATACAATTTACATATATATCCTCAAATTTTACCGATTTATGTTAGCAAATCATACCTCGAAAAGAAGGTAACGATATGCGAACCATCCCGAATATCCAAGTCCAACCAACTCCAAGATCTTTGGAAGCTGAATAAAATGTTTACCGAATGTTGAATTTTTTTAATAAAAAACAGCAATGCAAATGCAAATATGAATTTTTATTAAAGAACCTACCAAAGGGACTGAGTCAACTGCACCAACAACAATCGAAGCCAACCAAACAGCAACAATTGCACCACTTCCATAAAGAATTGCTGCCGGCTTGTTTTCGAGAACATCCCACTATAAAGCATAATGGCAAGAAACCAGTTGGGAAAAATTAAAATAGTAAGAGAAAAGTATTCGATAACTATATTGCAAAAGTTAGGGGTAAATAATTTTTTCCAACTTGTACTATACATGCTTTTGAGTTTAGCTACGTACAGTATTTTTGTACTAAAATGCAAACTGAACTTCATGAATTTTCATAATGTGCATACTCGTCTACATCTTGACCATACACGTGTCCTTTTTTGCGGTTGATCGTATGGTCAAGAAGTAGGCGAGCGTGCTTGCAAATTATAAATGTTCATGAGGTTCAGATTGCAATTTACATCAAAAAATAATATAAGTTGCAAATCCCAAAAGCACGTATAGTACATGTTGTGACCAATGTTTTACCCCAAATATTTATAGAGCAGACATATTGAGGCAATTGTACTAAAGCTTGAATTTCCGTCGAATAACTCGTGGATAGATAAAAAAATATTACCTTTTCTTTTAAGTATGTCGACAGTTCATTGGGATCAAGAGGTGTCTCGTCTGATGAAGAAGCCTGAGAAGACTTCACATCTTCTGTTAGCAATTCATTAGAAACGAGAGGCGCCTCGTTTGATGAATAAGAGTCGATCACAGGCTGAGCAGACTTTATATCCTCCGTCGTTAACACTTCATTGGCATTGACAGGTGTCTCGTCTGATGAAGAAGACTCGAAAACGGGCCAAGGATATTTTCTATCAGCTGTTAACAGTTCATTGGTATCGAGAGGTGTCTCTTCTGATGAAGAGGCCTTGAGCACTTCAATGAGAAACCAATTGTTATGAAATGAAAATACAAAATAAAAAATAAAAAAGTGAACTTAAACCTGATAGCATATAAGTAAAAAAATGACTAAGATGCTCGATTTCAAGAAAATAGAAAACTGATGCATGCATATTTACATATTATACCATGA